CTTCTTTCTTTCTTAAAAAATAACTTTTTCTCTCCAATTACCAACGTAATACATGCTTATCTTAGAATAGCTGGAAAAGACTATACAGAGATGCCCAAATATGATGCAGCAGAGAATTTCCCCTCTTCCTTCCCACAGCTCCAATTTGACTTCTGTCTAATTTTGGATTTATACGAACAAGCAACACACTGGGGAGCCCCAGAACAAGAGATCTGTGCCTTCAGGAAGCTTCTAGAAAGCATTTGTATTTTGATAAGTAGGACTTTGAGGCATTTTTCAGGAGAAGATACACCAGGGATTAGATACACCAGCTGGCATGGAAGTTTCCTTTGGTTGGGGGGCTTTTGCAGGGCTTTTGGGTCTGGCTGGAACAGGGGCTTCCCTCCCTTACTGGCTGTGCAGCCTCTCTTAATGTCCCCAGTGCCTCAACATCCTCATCTGGAAAATGGGACTAGCATCCCTAACTTAGCTAGTCTTAGGCACACTCTCCCCACTCCCAGCAACGTCTGCAGTGTGGAACCCTTGGTTCACTGGCAGAACATACCCTCCTTCAATGCAGTTGGTTCTAGGGCTGAGTTTTTTGTTCAAAATGGCTCAGTGCCTTGGGAGACAGAGATCTGAGTTCAGATCCTGGTTCCACCTTTAACCAGCCCTTGGTCAAGTCCCTGTGTTTGAGCCTCAGTTTCCTCATTGTGTCTATGTTATAGGGTAGTCGGGAGGTTTCAGTACAACAAATGCATGTACAGTGCCTGGCTGGTGCCTTACACTGAGGAAGTGCTCAGGAAACGTGAGCTCTTATTATCATCATCACTTATGTGCAGGCCTCCCATGTGCCTGGCACTCTCAGGGAGAGGGGCACGAAGGAGAAAACAAAGCCTAGGTCCTGCTCCCAAGGAGTCTGAAGTTTTGTTGGATATCTGGCTGCGGATGCTTCGCTCCTGCCACTCCACCATTTGAGTTGGGCCTTGAGGGATGGGTCTGACTTGAGCCCATGGGGATGGAAGGGAGGAAGGGCCTTGTGGATATGGAGCCATGTAAGCGAAGCCGGGAAATGGGAGAGTGTAAGGCGTGAATGGAAAACTCCAGGCATTTTCATTCAGTTCCATGTGAGGGCCTCTCTGGTCCATCTCACACAAATCTCAGTAAAAACACAGTAAATCTACTATGCACCTCTCCTAGGACTTTATATGCAATACACACTGAATTCTCACAGTAAACAGAAGGGCCACTTTTGCCATTCCCATTTCACAGATGAGTCAACTGAGGCTCAGAGAGGTCTGGCCCACTGCTAAGAGTACAACACTAGGAATGGATGGGGCAGGAATTCAAGTTCAGAGAAACAGAAGGCAGACCGGTGTCCCACACCTCTTGCAGGAATTAGTTCCCAGGCAGTGAAACTCTAAAGCCAGCCCGAAACTCAGGTGCAGAGAGCTGGCTCTCAGCCCCCTTGCTGGCTCCTTTCTTTCATCTCAGCCCCACCCTGCCACCCCCATTTCCCTTCCTGGCCCTGGGGCCCTGCTCCTTTCCCAAACCTGCTCTTCCACGATTCCTTCCAGTTTCCCTCATCTGTAAAATGGGGATAATAATAGTGCCTGTCTCAGAGGACTGAGGATCAGAGGCGATGTCCAAGTGCTTGGAGCCCAGCACACAGTAGGTTCTGTGAATATTAACGATCATCATCGCCATCATCATTTTAATATCCCTCAAGTCCTGTGAAATGGGCTGAGTGGAAGCATTATCAGTGTTTGGTGCTTGAGGAAACTGATGATGTGATGTGAGCAGCAGGCTGTCCAGTGGCGCCCCACTGGGAAGTGGAGAATGTGATTTGAGTCAGGGCCAGCTGAACCTCTGACTTCAGATCTCGTTAACTTCTGCCAGTGTTTGCTGGGAAGATGAGTGAATCATTTAATCAATATTTATTACCCATCTTCTGCATGTGAAGCCAGGCCCTAGATGCTGAGGGGCATTCAGAGATACCACCCAGTCCCTTGAGGGAGCTTAGGACCTAAAAAATAAACAAGGCATGAAAACAAAGCCTTGTTTGTTGAGGCAGAACGCATGACGTGTCCAAAGAGGGCAAGAGGCCCTCTAACCAGGAGAGGGGAGGCAGGCAAGGAAGGCTTCCCGGAGGAGGTGACATTTAAACTGGGCCCTAAAGCTTTTTTCCATGTGGCCCCTGAGGGAAGAAGGCACAGGAGGTACCATCACCTGTGTGGGTGGGGCAGCAGCTCCTGGAGGCCTGTCACCAGGCTCTTCAAGGTGTAACAGAACCTCTGAGTTCAAAGTGAATGAAGGTTGTCATGATAAATGTTTTCCAAAAACTTGTCATAGAGGATGGCTGTGAGAACGCCACTAGGAGCACAACTGCATGTAACAAGCATATAAATATTTGCACATGAAATGTTTAAGTCCTTAGCTGTGGTGGTTAAAAATTCCTCATTGCCTCAAAAGTGTGGAGTACAATATTTTTGAAGGAAGAATGAAGAATTGGATTAAGAAGACATTAATTGAAGCAAAAGATAAAAATTAATATTTTATTTCACATTGATCATCTCACAAGAAATCACATAGTAAAATACATATTCAAATGATTTTAATTGCTGGTCAATAAAGTCCATTTCTTAAAAAAAATATTAAATTTAAAAAATAAACTGGACCATGAAAGACCAGTGAAATGTGTAGACTGGAGTAAAGGGGGCCTGTGTCCTAGAGATAAGGCCAGAGATGTAACCACAGCTGCCATGTCTTGAGGTTCCTTATGAAGCAGGCTCTGTGCTGAGAGCTTGACATGCATTATCTCATGAGATTTCCCCACAATCTTATGAGGTGAGTGTTACTAGGGATAAGAAAGCCCAAGCTCAGAGAGTTTACAAAACTCGCCTGGGGTCACACAGCTAAGTAAAGTGACTAGGCCTGGGTTTGAACCCAGAGCTGTATTCTGCAAAGTCTGAGCTCTTCATCACCATGCATTATTGCTACCTCATCCTCAAAATCCGAGGATCAGGTATTAAGCTGGGAACTGACTCTGGAGTGCTTTGAATGCCAGGCTCAGACTTGCATAGAAATCACATACACCAGGCAGGACTCAGCAGACCTGGAATTCAGCGGCAGCTTTGAGCAGCTCTGCCACTCACTAGCCCAGGTCACTTCTCTGAGTCTTGGCCACTCTAAACTGGAGAGGTGAGGAATGTAAGTGGATCATCAGCAGTGAGGAAGGCAAGACCTGTGACAAAAGGATTGTTTAGGAGAAACCTGGAGATGTTCAAATATTTACTGAGTGTTGGGCTCTGGGGAAGCAACTGTGAACCGGTCAGAGCTCTGCACTCTGGACCCCTACCCAATCCTGCAAGGGGTGAGCACAACTTGGGAGAGTGGGGGAGGAGCCTTTTATTGGAACAAACAAGGGCTCAGGAGCTGACCTGTCCCAGATTGAACTGCCAGATCTCAAGTCACTGAAGCTCTCTGTGTGAACTTGGGCAAGTCACCTAGACTTTCAGACTGTCCATCTTTATCACGAAGACCGCCATTCCTCTTCTGAGGATTGTTGGATTAAATTAAATAAAATAAGACATAATTACCTGGCAACTGTGGGCACTTAATAGATGTATCTCCCTATGAAGGGGTATATACATGTTAGGCTCCGCCCCTCGCGCCGTTGTCAAGAACAGGTTCCTGGCTTTCGTTTTACAGGGGGAAAGAATATAAATACCTACATGTTAGCTGAGCTGTAATCCAGACTACCAAAAGGTCTGGGGCCCGGGCAGTGTACCGCTGGGTCGGGGCTCAGGTCAGAACTCCGCGCCAAAATGTTTCCCCCCGCCGACCCCAGGGAATTCGGGCCCAGTCCCCAGAGTGCGGCTGTCTCTGCGCTGTGTTGGAACCACCCTCCCAGTCTGTTTTTCTGCCAGGCGACAGCAGGTGTGGTGGCCCCTTTAAGCAGCAAGCTCGTGTTGCAATCGCCGCCTTGGGGACGGGTCCTTTCTGAGGGGTGGAGCCTGTCCCTGTTGCAGCGACCAACCGAAGTGCGGCATTTTCCGCGGGAGATCCGAATTTCGCGGCACGCAGTTTCGCGCTAAAAAAAAAAAGAAGAAAAAAAAGAAGCAGAGAAAAGCTCAGGGACTCGAGAGCGAGGCGAGAGGGAGTCGGTG